GAATTTTATTCGTATCCAGTGTGAGGTTGAAAAGTGTTGTGAGAGGCTCTGCTACAAAATCAGCTGCCAGTTTCAAGAAGTAAGGATCTAGTAAGTCTGGCCCTGGAGATTTTCTAGGATCTAACAGTTTAAGAGCTTTACAGACCTCCTGCACAGAGAAAGGAACAAAGTTAAATGGCTGACCAGTGTACACTGAGGACTGACAGCTAATTAGAAACGCTCCTGAGAGGAGCGGGCACTCTGAACGTACCCTCTGTTTGTGTCTGTATGGTTCTGAGCATGCTCAGTGTGTCTCCTTGCAGCCTCTGGGCGGGGGCAGAGACATCCTGAAGGAGCGTCCTCAGCTGCAGCGGTGGAGGAGTCGAGTCCAGTCGGCCGTCGGTGAGGCATTTGACGAAGCTCACAGCGTCCTGTATGCCCTCAGAGACCGCCGCCGAGCCCGTCTGTGACATCTGCATGAGGGGGAGGAGTCAGTCGAGGGTGTGAGGAGGATGAAGGAGTGGCTCAATTTCACTTTGATTTCTCTGCTTTAAAAACCTCAGAGGCCTTCGAGCCATCACAGAGTTCCTGGACTCTGATCGATGACAGAATCAATAAATCTATCGATGAATCAATGTTGGAGTTCAATGTTTGAATCAGCTGAAGCACTTTAACAGGAAATGAGCTTTGAAATGAAAATAAAAAAAGCTGCTTGTACTTTGCCCCTTGAGTGTCTGTGACTGAGCGCCCCCCGCAGGCTGGAGGAGGAGCTGCGGCGCTGTAGGCGTGTTCAAACGAGCACATGAAAGAGACTCAGCAAAAATGTAAAAATCTTTATTAGAAAACTTTATTTACACCAGGTTCATCAGCAGAGACATGTGACTACACAGAGGAAGAGGGCGGGCCTTGGCTCCGTTTGGCAGGATGTTGCTCCTCGCCATCTCCTTCTCGTCCTCGTTTCCTCAGGTGTCTTCCTGAGGTCGACTCCGCCTCCTGCAGGGGGAGGAGCTCAATGGATCAGGAGGCAGAGTCATGGTTGTACTGTGTGTGTGTTTGTGTATGTGTGGTTACCATGGCAGCAGCAGCCCCCCCTCCCTCTGCAGACGGGTACATGAGCCTGTGCGCCGTCTCCAACATCTTCTGGTCCTGCAACCATCACAGAGTGAGCAGCCTACACTTCCCACAATGCACCTGAACATCTTTAACCCTCTTAAGACTTGCTGCTGTGGCGTCAGCTGTGCTGCAGACAGCCAACTGCCATCGTTGAGGGCGGAGTCACTACAAAAACACTGAACACAGCCTGGTGTGTGGTTATTTGGGGGGG